AGGTGTGAGGGGGGTGTCGGGGGGGGGGTGTCAGCCCCACGCAGCACCCACAGGTACCTGCAGCAAGTCAAAGGTGACGACACCATCCCGGTCCGTGTCCATCGCTTGGAAAAACCCTGCGGCGAGGGAAATCGGGGTGGGGGAAATAGGATTTTTTGGGGGTTTTTTTTTGTTAATTCGTGGGGGAAAACGGGGCAGGATTTAAGGGGGAAAGTCGGGAAAAACTGAAAGGGTTAAATCCCTGCCAAGCCCTGGCTAAAAACTTGCTGCGATCCACGAAAAGCTTCGCTTGCAGAGTTTTAGCCCAAAGTTCAACTGGCGGACAGAGTGAGGAAGACTACGGGCGACCACCGGAGGGGCGAGAAGACCCCAACCCTAATTTTACTGCCCGTGCTCGGGCTACGTAAACGAACTCCGGGAGCTCGTCACCGTAAGACCGCCTTTTCCAGGAAATCCGATGAATATGTACGATTTTTCTGGACGTAAACCGACGGGTTTTGCTGAGCCGCCGGAGCGATCCCCGGCGCGGTGTTTGTCTCGGAAAACCGAGATCGGTTGACCATCAGGAAAGCCCGCCCCGACCGAGCCCCCTCCTGTGAGGAGCGTCGGAAGGTGCGGGCTCGCTACCGACTTTGGTTCAAAACCAGCAGGGTTTAAGAGCAAAATGTAGAAAAACGGGGCGGGATTTAAGGGGAAAAATTGGAAAAAAAAACCCCATTTCTGTTAAATCCTGTTTTCTAACTTTTCCCGTTAAACCCTGCTGCTTTTTAGCACTTTTTAACGGGAAAAAAACCAACCCTGTTCTTCCCAACTTTTCCCCTTAAAACCTGTTGGGTTTTCCCCGCTTTCCCCTCAGCTCCTGGGGGTGTTTTTCCCACTTTTCCACGGAATTCAGCAGGAAAAGCTGGGAAAAGAGAAATCTTTTAAATCCGTTTTTCCGACTTTTCCTGTTAAAATTATTTGGGAAACGTGGTGGAGATGGGACGAAAACGGTGGGGTTTAGGGGTTAAAAAGCCACTCACGGAACATGGTCTCCAGGCGCACGAGGCAGCAGACGAAGTTGTCGAAGTCGATGGCCAGGTCGGGCTCGGCGTAGCGGGTGATGATCAGCTCGTGCAGCTTTTTGTTCAATTTATAGCCTTTTTAGGGAAAAAAAAACAACAAACCCCCACCAACAAAAGCAAAACCAAAAAAAATCCCACCCGAGGCGGGCGGGAGGCCGGGGAAATTCGTGAAAACCGAGGCGGCG